AAGCAAGGCAGAGAATATTGTCATTACATGAGCAGTGAGGAGTGACACCTGCCTCCAATACTACTCATGGCTTCTTTTGAAGGTTTAAGATGATGTGGAGAGAATTTGGCTATGCAGTATTTAAACACAAGAAGTTCTGACTGTCAGTTGTGTTGGTTGGCAATGAACAAACAGGTATAAAAGGAGAATTCCTGGATACCAAGATCCAGGTTTGGGACAAGTACTGGTTGGCGAGAGAACCCCCAGCAGAGATTTAAAATAATAAAATGTGCAGCAAAGTAAAGCATGGAAATATAGGCTATTAGACCTTTAAAATATGCCCTTGCAAGTTCCAAAGTAGTCTTCTCTTCCCCTAGCATAGAAAAAGACCACACATTTGGTAAGTTAAAAATGGTTTACTTACAAAATCTCCAAAGGTCAAGTTCATGAGCTTTTCCATACATTGGTCAGAAAACACAGGCAGTAAAACTTGGCTTCATTGCAGGGGTGAAAGTTTATAAATTATTGGTATAAGAACACTTGAAAGCGCCTTGTAATCTGATCTTAGAGCAGCCAGCTCAGACCTCTTTACACGCTGAGCTTTTCAGGTAGACTGAAGTACAAGAATAAGCTTGATTACCTATTTTCTCCCAAGGTGAGGGGGAGTGACCTAGGTAAGCCTGGCAGGACAGCTTACTCTATGGCTTTAACCCCTTCATGCATTAATTAGACTTAAGCATGTTGGTTATATGAGACTGGTGATCCCATATATCCAACTTACATATGGTGGGGCTTCCTGGTGGGATTCCATGTCTCCCCCCACCCCGCACCCCCATACATATTCTGTGTACAGTGGTACCTCAGGTTAAGTACTTAATTCGTTCCGGAGGTCCGTACTTAACCTGAAACTGTTCTTAACCTGAAGCACCACTTTAGCTAATGGGGCCTCCTGCTGCTGCCGCGCCGCCAGAGCACGATTTCTGTTCTCATCCTGAAGCAAAGTTCTTAACCCGAGGTACTATTTCTGGGTTAGCGGAGTCTGTAACCTGAAGCGTATGTAACCCGAGGTACCACTGTATGTGCAAAGATTGTATGAAGAGGACTCTACTGAGAACATGGCAGAAGCAAAAAAGGGAATTGTATGACTTCCGATTCATTTTCTTAGCCACTGAACCACATCAGCTTGCACTTTGACAGACATAACCTGAGCAATTTGGATATGAATTTGTTGAAATTGCCACAACATATGTAAGCCTCGTATAGAGGTTGCATGTATCCCCTATTTCTACTTTGTGTTACTTTCTTTTTCCTAAGTGGCAAACGCCAATAAGACTATGCCTTTTCCCTCTATTAAGCTATTTCCCTTAATAGCTCCTGGGTGGAACTTTGGCTTTATCTGTTTGTTCTTTGGTGACTGTGTGCTCCCCGTCTCCTGAACTGGAATGTACAATTGCACTGGTTTTATTTTAAAATTAATGTTCTGATGACTGTATGTCCTTAAAAAAATGTAATAGCCAACTGCTGGAGTTCATATACATTTAAAAACTTCTTTTTTAAAGAGAGGAAGGACATTAAATGTGATATCAATGTTGGCACTGTTCATTTTATAGAAACATCAACATGCTTTTATTATTAACCTGTTCTAAATCAATGTAAGAATTTCAATACAACACTTGTAAGTATTCCCAAACCAATGTGCCTCTCTGACTTCCTTTTGGTTTTTTAAAAAATTACAAATTAATAAGATTCCCAGGTTTCTGCCTAATGATTCTCTGCATTTATTGCTTAATCCCCATATAAAATATTGTTAAGATTGACACATTGCTATAGAGATAGAAGTCAATTGAATAATATGTAGCAGTCTATTTTATTTGTACCTTAATGTGGTGATGTATTTCTTTCACATTTACATTATTTATAAGTCTGTCCCCTTGGAGAATATATAGAAGAATTTGTTTTAAATGAGCAGATAATACCTTCTTTAAAATTTATAAGTATGGCAGAATCAGATCCCCCTTTTTTTTCCCTTCACAGACCATGGCGTGGCAATAAAATAGTTCTGAATTGCCTTGCACTTGCTATTCATAGGACAAACGTGGGGTGGGGGGGGGGAGAGGATCTTATTAAGGTTGAGTTAGAATTCCATTTCTATAGCCATCAGTAAAACCACAGAAAACAAAATCTACACCAAACTGTCTGGCAGAAATCCTAAAAATTGTTGCACAGGCACCTGCATTCCTGACGCTTCTTTGCCATATGCATTCATGCATCCTGCCCCAGAAACAATAAACAGGCAGGCTCCTGCTTCATTGATTTATTTTTTATTATTTTTATTTGCTACTAATATCCATTCACCTGCAGAAATAATGCACACACCCCTACCTACTTATTGAGGCATAAGAAGGTGGAAGCAGGCTTACGTGCATGTATCTCTAAGTGGATATTGAACTGCATCGACAGATGGGTACATATTCCTACCCCAATTTAGCTGCTAGAGGAAGTATGGCTCTGAGAGCCAGTGTGGTGTAGTGGTTAAGAGCGGTAGTCTCGTAATCTGGGGAACCGGGTTCGCTTCCCCGCTCCTCCACATGCAGCTGCTGGGTGACCTTGGGCCAGTCACACTTCTCTGAAGTCTCTCAGCCCCACTCACCTCACAGAGTGTTTGTTGTGGGGGAGGAAGGGAAAGGAGATTGTTAGCCGCTTTGAGACTCCTGAAGGGGAGTGAAAGGCGGGATATCAAATCCAAACTCTTCTTCTTCTTCTTCTTCTTCTTCTTCTTCTTCTTCTTCTTCTTCTTCTGGTCAGATTGATTGGCAATAGCACTCCTAGGTGTTGAGGTGGGGGTACTCAGCTGATCAGCACCACGGCCAGGTACAACGGGCTGAGGCCCAGCTTCTTGCTTGCATAGACCTTCTTTCAGGAACTTGGTGGCATGCAGGTAACTATTTCATAACCTCCAAGTGTCCTGATTGGCACCCTCCAAGAATACAGGCTGGGGACGTGGGTGGTGCTATGGTTTAAACCACTGTTCCATTTGGACTTGCCAATCAGAAGGTTGGTGGTTCGAATCCCCGTGACAGGGTGAGCTCCCGTTGTTCAGTCTTGAGTGGGGAAAGGGTTAAATGACTCCTCTCGTGGGTTAAACCACAGAGCCTAGGACTTGCTGATCAGAAGATCAGCAGTTTGAATCCCCGTGATGGGGTGAGCTCCCGTTGCTCGGTCCCTGCTCCTGCCAACCTAGCAGTTCGAAAGCACGTCAAAGTGCAAGTAGATAAATAGGTACCGCTCCGGCAGGAAGGTAAACAGCGTTTCCGTGCTCTGCTCTGGTTTTGCCAGAAGTGGCTTAGTCATGCTGGCCACATGACCCGGAAAAACTGTCTGCAGAAGCAGACAAACGCTGGCTCCCTTGGCCTGTAAAGCGAGATGAGCTCTGCAGCCCCAGAGTCATTTGCAACTGGACTTAACTGTCAGGGGTCCTTTACCTTTTAGGCATACAGGCTGGGACTGATAGGAGTTGTAGTCCAAAGCATCTGGAGGGCAGGTTTAGGAACTGGGACAGTCTGTTCCAGAGCAAGGATCTGGTTCCACGTCTCTTAGAAGCAGGGCCGGCCCACCCAGGAGGCAAGGTGAGGCAACTGCCTCAGGTGCCAGTTTCCACGAGGCGGCAGATCTGGCTTCCCAGGAATGCATCGTCTGCTGTTGCTGCTGGCGTGCCCGTGGCTGTGGCTGTGCACTCCTTGAAGGCAATGCCGCCTCTAAAATGGTACACCTGCCCACCACAATTCGGAGCAGACCCTCTCCCCCGCCCCAAGACCTTTGATTCCATTGGGTTGATTCAGTGCCCCCCCCCGACCATTTCCCCTGATGTAGATCATTACTCACCCCTTCTTCTCTGGTGGCAGGGAAGGGGGGTGTCAGCGCTATTTTGTGGCTTGCCTCAGGTGCCCCAATGTCTTGGGCTGGCCCTGCTTAAAACTGTTCTGGAATCTGTGCAGAACATACTAGTCAGCTGAGGTGGCGTGGCAATGCGTCCTGCTGCCAGTGAAGTACCGTATTTTTTGCTCTATAAGATTCACTTTTTCCCTCCTAAAAAGTAAGGGGAAATGTGTGTGCGCCTTATGGAGCGAATGCAGGCTGCACAGCTATCCCAGGAGCCAGAACAGCAAGAGGGATTGCTGCTTTCACTGCACAGCGATCCCTCTTCTGTTCTGGCTTCTGAGATTCAGAATATTTTTTTTCTTGTTTTCCTCCTCCAAAAACTAGGTGCATCTTGTGGTCTGGTGCGTCTTATAGAGCGAAAATACAGTAACTTAATTGAAACGCTTCCCCAAATGAATGATACATTGTATGTAGTAAGAAAGTGTAATCTAGCCCTCTTTCTGTTATGCTCCTCTATTGTCTACCCATTGGGGCATTTACGTAGAGGAGCATTAAAGCAATTTTAAAAAGACCCTTTACCTCTAGTCTCTCATTCTGTGAAATTTGTAGAGCCTAGGCTGACTCCTAGTCCCAAACCCTGACTCTTCATCTGTGCAAAGTCCAATTGCCTTGGATCCACTAGTTTGCACTGTGATATTTTACGGATATTTTACTCTTTCACAGAGATAAACAGTAGAAGTCACTTTACTTTGGCCCAGTTAATTCTTGCTCTGTGAAATTAGGATAGCTGTTGCTCACTTTAGCATTAAAAAAAAAAAGAGGCTCTTTCCCCTGCAGAGAGCTTGTGCGATTTTTTTAAAAAAAAATGTAAATGGATGTATAATGCAATCCACATTAGCTGTGTTGATGATGGCTTCAGTTTCACTGCTGTCAGATTTCCGTATCTCCCTCCGAGTGAGTAGGCTGGCCTGAATGAATGTTAGCATAATTTATGCAGCTGATAAGTGATTTGAGCGCTTGAGTTATTGATAAACCGCTTTAGCATATCATTTTCAGCTTGATGCTATGTGACATCACAGCAAAATGTAATGTGCTAGTCCCCAGGCTAGATATTAAGGTAGAGCTTTTTCTTTGAATTCCAGGAGCCAGAGGAAATACAGCACTGTCTGATACAAGCACATCTGATCAGCACCAACCCAGTCAATCCCATCCAGCCTTCCCTGTCGGGCCCCAGGTCAGTTTCTCTCATTGACTCGAAATAAAATTTGCTTTTCTGAAAGCAAATATTAACAATCAGCTAAATGGATGAAGTAGAATTATTTGGCTGCATGCTGTCGTTTGAAATGTATGCTTAGCAATTAACATTTTAAAAATGTGTGTGTGTGCATGTGTGAGAGAGTTTGTTCATCTCATTTTTTAAAAAGATAGAAATCTATGTACAGTTTTCAAGCCAAATTTCAGATTTGGGCTAGGGATTTTTGCTCCTTAATTTATGTTACTGGAGCCTCGCATCAGCCTTCTGCTTTAAATACAGCCTGAGTTGATGTGAAACTGCTAAATGGACTTTTAATGTAAGTTTGATTCAACAGTTTGGGTTTGACAGTTGTGTGTGTTACGCACAGACTTTGTTTCAAATTACATTTATCCTAGTTGGGAGCCAACAAGTATTTATGTGGATTCTGCTGTAATGCTAAGTAAAAATTTGAAGGGTTTCTGTTTACAAAGTGACTGAGCCAGGCTGCTAGGGAAGAGCTGGCAGACATTCTGGCCCCCAGTTTCTGAGCATATCTCCACAGGAGAATTAAATTGGCTGGTGCCATTTGAACTGCCACAAGTTCCTCCTAAGAACCCTCCGAGCTTTAGTCTGACAAAGGTGCTGAGGATTTGTGTTTGCTTTGGCAGCACTTATATTAAAATTTGAACTATGCAGCAAATTGAGCATGACCCCTGCACAAAGATTACATGCAGATTCACGAAGCTTTACATATTTGGGGAGGGTCCTAGGCTCAATGGTACAACACAAACTGTCCGTGCAAAAGGTCCCATGTTCAGTGCTTGGCATCGTTGATTTATTTTTTACAAAAACCATCAAGTTGCATGTGATGCTCAAGACCTCTGTCTATGACCCGGAAGGGCCAAAGCCAGTCAGAGTAGCACCCCCAGAACTATAGCTGGCAGCTTTTGCAGATCTGCCCACTTGGAGACTGCCAGCTCAAAAGAGTTGTTTGGCTTTGTTTCTTAGGAAATGTACGGTGATTGGGTTTAATCAAGCCATCCTTTCAAGAGCAACCAATACTTATATTCTAGATGGCGCAGCTCAGAGCACTGGTGGGGTCCATATTACCCGACCTGGTCTAGTATATGCTATGGATGTGAAACTGGAAAGAATTCAGAGGAAATCAACAAATCAGTGTTTGTGAGTGTAAAGGAGCAGAGTATTATATTTCCTAAAGAGAGACTGAGAGCAGCAATGAGGAACACACTTCCTCTGATCTCTGAACAGATCTGCTTACTCACGAGAAGCCTGTAGAGCAGCCCTCACTGCCAGAAATCAGACCTATATTATTTTTATTTCTTAAATTTGTATGCCACCCTTCATCCGTAGATTTCAGGGCTCTTCACAGCATAAAAGTATATGTGGAACAACAACTCCATGTGGGTTATAGATTGACCTCCTGAGCTTTTTTGGGGGGGAGGTTACAAATTTGGTTATTTTTTGTCTACGCAACAACAGCCGGTCCATCCAGATATCCTTTTTGTTGTGCTTTGGTGATGATTTGTATTGGGACAGTTATATATGATCTCACTCTTAGTACTGTTTGCACCTGCAAATGTTTAGGAGCGGACATACTTCTTTGTTTCCAATAAATACGAGTCCTGTAATTTCCTGCTGAAATCCTGTAACTGTTTATGCCACAGATGTTCCAATTTATTTTCTGGGCCACTTCTGATGCACAGCAGTGCAGGAGCGGCCCACTTAAGTGGCCATAATGTGCTCATATTGGGGAAGCAACTAATAAAGTGGAATGATGTTCCGTACAAATGCACTATTATTGCACTGTTGCAGAATACCTCTGCAAAAAGCAAACACAAAGAACAGCCCTGTATTTACATTTTAATTGCTTTGTTCTTTTGAAAACCACCTTGAGAATATGATTGAAGGAATGTTAGTATAAAAAACCAGGCCAACAAACTTATTTTTGGTTGTTAGGTCATGTTGGGTTTACTGGTATGCTGGATGTGTCTAAACTGCTTTGGGAAGCATTTTGTTTGAAAAGTGATTTACAAATCTTAAACAAAGGCTTTAATTATCACCAAATTTGGCAAATAGCTACTGCATTTTAAAATATTATTGGGTACCTACAGTAAGTGTCTTCAGCAGGGGTTTGGAACCTCTCAGGCCAGTGGGGCAAACAATGGGGCCCCCATTTGGCCAATGACCACATGGAGTACAAAATATTTACTTGGAAGCCAGTTTGCGCATTAAAGTTGTAGTGCAGCAACACCTTCTCTAGAAAGCTTTGCCTGAGAAAACTCCCATGCACTGATTTTTTCCTTTCATAAATTATTATATAAACTCACTGCAAATTTATCAATTGAAATTGATTGTTCATATTACTTTTAGTTGATTAACCAGCGAAACTTGCATATGGGTAAAAACAATGTTTCGGATGCCAGAAGCATTTTTCCCTTTGTTTTTAGATGGCACATAAATTTCTTGTGGGAGACATCGTCTTAGAAGAGGCATTCCTCCCAACATAATGGAAAAGAGAGAATGCCTCTTTTGAGAAGGCACTTGCCAGCTATATTTTTTAATCCCAGTGAAGAAGAATGTCTGTATCTATATCTGTATCCACATCATCTGTATCTACAACTGCTGGCTGATTGGGGCACCTTTTTTCAGTAATTAAAAGTGTTTTAAACTAGTTAATCTAAATCAGGCATGTCCAACAAGTAGATCGTGATCTACCAGTAAATCGCTTGGGTGTCCCTAAAAAAACTCAACAGCTCCTGGCAATGACAATGAGTAGATCACAGCCAGTCTTTTTATACTATGAGTAGACTGCAGTCTCTTGGGAGTTGGACGTGCCTGATCTAAATAATCCGGCATTTCTAAATGCTGCCGGCCTTGTATACACACACGTGCGCCCCCTTGATTGTAGTCAGAAAACTAAAACAAATCAGAAGTAAGTCACAGGCTCTGGGTCAGTTTGCACAGCATGCTGTCCATCAGAGCTTTTAGACTACAACTCCTGTCATACCTGAAGATTGGCTGTCCTGGCTGAAGCTGATGGGAGTTGTCCAACAACATCTGGAGGGCACTAGGTTGGGGGGGGGGAGGCTGCTCTAGTGAAACCACTGCAGCCATGCTGTTGTGCCTTTATTTTGTAATATGTTAAAATCTGATAATTACGTCTCCTTTCAGCCACTACTGACGGCGCAGCAGCTAGCCTCAGCTGTAGCAGGGGTGATGCCAGGAGGCACGCCAGCACTGAATCAACCTATCCTTATTCCTTTCAACATGGCGGGTCAGTTGGGGGGCCAGCAAGGACTGGTCTTGACTTTGCCTACCGCTAATCTCACCAACATCCAAGGGCTGGTGGCCGCAGCTGCAGCAGGAGGCATCATGACTTTGCCGTTGCAAAATCTACAAGGTAAATCGCATTGGAAATTCCATTTCCTTTTTCCGGTTTTTCCCCCCCATTGTTTCATTTTATAATGTATATAAAGCAGAGTGAACAATCATAACAACAGAAGACAATTAAAAGATGAAAAACAAAACTATAAAAAAGGCACGTAGACTGAGTTCAGTAGATTTGGTTTAAGGTTCTTAAATGGAAGAGCTTGTAACAAGAGATGTTTAGAAAGTCTAATTTCAGTGTCTACCCAGTGTTAATTTGGTCCCCCGTTGATGATAGGGTGCAGAATAGTTTTTATTTTGTTGTAGTGTTGTTTTTATTTTGATTATATATTTTGTGGTTTTGTATTCTGGTTTTGTTCTGTGAGCCGCCCTGAGACCTCTGGGTATAGGGTGGAATATATATATATATATATATATATATATATATATATATATATGGTATACCTCATCATCAGATTGAGTTCTGTGGAACAAAAGGATTAATTTAGTCTAGCTTTTTTTTTTTTAGGGACAGAATAAAATCCACTACTGTAAATTGCCATTTATTCAAAAAATTATCAGAAAGAAGGATTCGTAAAGTTTGGAAAAAAAATAGAAAACTTGCTAGAAACAACATTTGAATTGTAGCTGTTCTCCTCAAAGTTGAGAGATTTTTGGTTTTGCATGTTTTTAAGTATGTTTCTAATTTCCATGTAAGTGGATTATAATTCATTTAAAATAAATTTGCATATAAATGCAAACATATGAATTTCTAAATATTTAATTATTTGGCACATGTTGTAATTTTAGACATAAATAAATTAATTTTTCAGTTTTAGGTCGTAATTTTTTTAAGAGGAATTCAGATTTAGAGTAGTTGACTGAGATACCTGACAGAGACATTGGAAATTTATTTCGTTGGTTGGTTTTGACACACCAAAACAGTATCTGGAATTCAAAAAGGAAATTCATTACTTCCATTTCTTTGGGCCACTGAAACTCTAACAGCACATGTTATAGCTCAAGTTTAGTTCAGACATATTGGTTAAGACCAGTTGAGTATTAGCATTCCTAATTATGTTGGTGTGCTTTGGGTGTTTTGGGTGGAAAATTCCTGACCTTGAAGAGCGTTTTTTGTGACCTTAATATGCAAGAACCAGCTCAGCTCATAGGCAGGCTGAGGCTGCTGCCTCAGGTGGCAGCAGCTCTTTGGGTGCCCCAGCTGCCCTGCCACCTCCCACGCCATTGCAGTAGCAGTACTGGTGTCAATGCCGATTTCAGCAAAATCTTGCTCCAATCAGGCAGGGCAAGGCGGCACTTCCTGTTTCACCTCAAGTGGCAGAATGGGCCACAGTGCTTACGCTGGACCTCCATGGTTACATCCACACCACGGGAGTCTGGAGCAGAGACCATCCTCCCCTCTCCACGTCCCTGTCAGTGCCATTCTGGGTGCAGAACATTTCTTTCCCTCCGCTCTTGTGGTTGAAATGTGTTGTGTCAGATGGCATGGGTGGTTGCTTGCGAGTAACCAGGCAGGACTCTGACCTGTCTTTTACAGGTTTTATTTGGTGCAAAAACTATTTACAGTGCGGAACCCCAAAGTTCATGTCTGCCTCAATCGCTAGCAGAATCCAGGAGTGGCTTTTTCCAGTTTTGTCCCCAACATAAGAACTTCGTCACCCCCAGCCTTTTCCTTCCTTCTTTGCGCTTTATCCCTCTGCGCAAGGTGGGCAACGGAAGAGGCGTGCTTCCCTCCTGGCCGGCTTGACCAGGAGCGGTGCTGGGCAGCATCCCCTAACCAGCAGCATCCCCTGACCCCTTCCCCTCTTCCCCGCTGGAGGTGTGGCTTTCCCCACCGCAGGAAAAGGAACTGCTTCGCAAGACTTTCGGAGGATCCCTGTATCCCAACGGCCCCTCTACCTCCTTTCCCTGTTCCGATGGCAGTTCCTTGACAGTGTTGCCTCTCTGTTCCTGGTCGTATCCCCCCCCCCCCCGGTGCATACACAAGAGGGTAAGCTATTAGGGTCATTCCACGTCGAATGACCTGATTTTAATAGTCATACCTCGTTTTGAGTCCGCCCCGTTTAGGGTCCGTTTCATCGAATGTCCGCAGCAAACCCAGAAGTACCAGAATGGGTTACTTCTGGGTTTGCCGCATGTGCAGAAGTGCTAAATTGCACTTTGCGCATGCGCAGAGTGGTGCTTTGTGGAGCATCCCTTTCATCGAGCATCCAGGGCTCCGGACTGTACTCGACCGTGCTCTCACGACTCAGATTTTCTTCAAAAATATTTTCTGTGTAGATACCCATGAGATAACCTCAAATTCATTTCCAAAGATTTTTTTGGTCCAAAATTGGGCGCAGGAGATATTTTCAAAAATTTCGATTTTCGCACGATTTAGGCTAATGCAATTTCTGCATCAGTTTAGGGGGGGAAAGCCTCCTGATTCGCTTATTTTTCAACCAATTGGGCTTATTTGGGTATCAAAATAAAGATAATATTGGTCTCTTTCAAAATAAGGTATAAATATGGTATTGAGTGCCACAGACAAGGGTCACTGACCATTAAAAGTGAATTTTAGTCATTTTGTACCTTGGTAGGTTCGATAAGCCATAGCACGCAAACCACAACCAACAATATGTATCATACTTTTTTTGTAGGATGGGCTAACCATGAACTTGTTGTGCTTTAAAAATAAGAAGGGTGTTTTTTTGTGGCAATAAAATATTTTTAAAAAGTTTTATTAATTATTTAATAAAAACAAAATACGTCTCGGATCCCTTGTTTTTTCTAAACTCACGCAGAAATTGCATTAGCCTAAATTATGTGAAAATCAAAATTTTAAAAAATTACTCCTGCACCAATATTGGATGAAAATTTTTAAAAAATTAATTTGAGTTTATTTCATAGTATCTACACATTAAAAAATTTGAAGAAAATCTGAGTCGTGAGAGCACATGGCACCAGGTGGTTTGTCATGGAATGATGAAGCCTAAGGTAAAGGTAAAGGTACCCCTGCCCATACGGGCCAGTCTTGACAGACTCTGGGGTTGTGCGCCCATCTCACTCTAGAGGCCGGGGGCCAGCGCTGTCCGGAGACACTTCCGGGTCACGTGGCCAGCGTGACAAAGCTGCATCTGGCGAGCCAGCGCAGCACACGGAACGCCGTTTACCTTCCCGCCAGTAAGCGGTCCCTATTTATCTACTTGCACCTGGGGGTGCTATTCGAACTGCTAGGTTGGCAGGCGCTGGGACCGAGCAACGGGAGCGCACCCCGCCGCGGGGATTCGAACCGCCGACCTTTCGATCGGCAAGCCCTAGGCACTGAGGCTTTTACCCACAGCGCCACCCGCGTCCCTAATGATAAAGCCTAAAGGTAAAGGTAAAGGTACCCCTGCCCGTACGGGCCAGTCTTGACAGACTCTGGGGTTGTGCGCCCATCTCACTCAAGAGGCCGGGGGCCAGCGCTGTCCGCAGACACTTCCGGGTCACGTGGCCAGCGTGACATCGCTGCTCTGGCGAGCCAGAGCCGCACACGGAAACACTGTTTACCTTCCCGCTAGTAAGCGGTCCCTATTTATCTACTTGCACCCGGGAGTGCTTTCGAACTGCTAGGTTGGCAGGCGCTGGGACCGAACAACGGGAGCGCACCCCGCTGCGGGGATTCGAACCGCCGACCTTTCGATCGGCAAGCCCTAGGCACTGAGGCTTTTACCCACAGCGCCACCCGCGTCCCTATGATAAAGCCTAGAGACAGGTAAAAACATCGGAAAGAAGCGATGTTTTTTTTAAAAAAAACAATTAAACAATTATGTGTGTGTGTGAGAGAGAGACAGAAAGATCTATTAAAACATACAATAAAAATATCACAGCACCAGAAATAAAACGTAATACGTGTATGAAATTTGTTGTCATAATATACCGTAATGACCACTAGATTAAATTATATTTAAAAAAACCCAACAACTACAACAGTCGTGAAGGAAATAATAGCAAAACAGATAAATGGAACCTTATTTTTAGAGGAAGCATTACTCTGAGTACTACAGATAAACACCTGGGGAAGGCCATCACCTTCATTCATTTATATTTTAATTATCACGTTTCTTCCCCTAAATGGTGCCCAGAGCAGGAAACATCAAAAAATCAAAACGGCGCATTAAAAAAACAACAACATTTCAAAACAACATGAAAGCCACTTATAAAAACATTCGAGAACATTCAGAGGATGTAGAAACATTGTGTCCCTTTTGTGAGCGTGTACCAACATTTAGCTGGAAACAGTTGGAAATAAGATGATGGATTAAATGTCAGGGACAGTGAGGGGCAACAGAAGAATGAAATTAAATGCAACAGGAGGGAAATTAGGGACCCATATCATGAGATGGCTTGCACCTTGTGGTTGTGGGGCAGAGAAGGATCCAACCAGTTAGAGGCCTCTGGAAAATCAGGTGTTAATCTGAATTGAGGTCTTCTCCACTGGGTTTTAAATTTGTTTCTTAATTTTCCCCAGTTAATCCTGGGCACATCTAAAGGTTGCCTTCCTGCAAAGTGGCAGAACAGCCAGGGCAGCCAGAGGTTTTTGCAGAGTAGTTAGTTTTGAGCATATAAATAAGAGCAGAAGATCATGTAACAAAAAGCTCAGATATTACACCATTTAGCATTTTATGATTTGGGGTGCACATCATATAAATGTATTCAGATGCTTAAGAGATAAGCAATTTTACGACCTTCCATAGACATCTGAAGGCAGCCCTGTATCGAGATGATGTTTGATGTTTTGTTATGTTTTCCTGTATTCTGTTGGAAGCCGCCCAGAGAGGCTGGGGCAAACCCAGTCAAATGGGTGGGGTACAAAAATATTACTATTATTATTACTTCCTCTACATCTCTCTTCCTCTCTCTTTCACGCATATCATATATATATATATATTATGTGATCTACATAGACCAGGCACAGGCAAACTCCGGCCCTCCAGATGTTTGGGACTACAATCAGTGGCGTAGCGTGGGGGGTGCAGGGGGGCCGGCCGC